GGGTACAGATCGTAATTATATCATACGGCAGCTATAAGCTTAACAACAATACAACACTTCTTCCCATTATAGTTATAGTCTGAGAGTTAGAATTTGAGAAAGAGCCTATGACACGCAATTAACCTATCTGGGTATACATGGAGGAGTGTATAGCAAACTGGGCTTATTATAGTCGAAACATTCTGAGTATTTGCCTTGAATTCACAGCCTATTGCTTGTTATGGTTAGAAAAAAGCTGACCCGTGCACGGCAACGACCAACTGCTTTTGGTGCACAATTTTACTTAGAACATAGAGTAACAATAAAGAAATTATATTTTCTTTAAAAACGCAAAATGTCGTTTACTTCCCGATAGTTTTTCTATTGGTGTTACAAATATTTTTCTTTTGGTGCAACGAAAGACTTTTATACTACAATGATAGATTATGCAAAATTTGAACCATGCACTTTCAATGTAACATTTACAACACGCTATATGTGCACAATAGGGGGTTTGTTCATATAGCATTAAATTTTGTTCTAGCGCGATTCATGTGATTGTGTGAGGCTTACTAGTATTTCGAACCACCTTGAGGCGCCAAGTAGTCAGCAAGCCGTGCATCTAGACTCGATCCTTACCAATTAAGTTAATATAGATTCATATTGGAGCACCAATGATGTAGGCTATTAATTCATAGCATTATGGTTTAACATCAGTAGACACATGATCATGTTCCCCTTAAATAAAATCATTAAATCACTGTAGGTGGGCCTGATGGCATCTCACATTTACATACTGTTTTCCAGGTTAAACTTTGTTCAATATCTGAGCCATATGCATGTAATATATAGTATTTAAATAAAAAATCTTTGAGGAAGATTTTAAAAGTGTAGCTTTTCTCACAAATAAAGAGATAACATAGGTTGTTTCGGGGTTTTTCTGCACTAACATTGCAATATGGCTTCCATATAATACATGCTGAGGTGATCATTTAAATGAAGAACCTGAATAATTAAATGAATCCTTCAATACAATGTCATGAAGATTAAAGTATCTCGGTATTTAGTTTATTATATGTTCATTACAAAATTTCTATTGCGTGTTTTGAAGATACTATTATATATTCTTGCAATTTTGATAAGGCGCAATAACAGGGCAATTTTTAAACGAAAAACATAAATATTTAATTCAGCAATTATAATTGTTAAATATAATTATAATTATATGTATCATATCCATACAAACATTTAGTGTGTTACACCTACATGCTTATGCATGATGAGAAACATGTATGATGAGAAACAGAGACTATTATAAAAAATATGCAATAAAACATTCCTCACAGCCACATTGGGAAAGTTTTCAATTTCTGCGGAATAAAGTGAATGTTGAAATGCGAAGTGTAAAATCAAAATATTTTCATGATAAAATCACTGATTGCTCTGTAATGAATGACCCTAAAAAGACTTGGAAATTAATTAATTCATTATTGGGAAAGAATAACAAATCCAACAATGTGAATGAGCTGCTGGTTGACAGCACGTTAGTTTCGGATCCTAAATCTATTGCAGATGCATTTAATGACTATTTCATTAGTATTGGGTCGAGGCTAGCAGCAGAATATGTAGACGAGTCCTGTAGTAATGTTGATAATCAGCCCATAAACTATAATATTAATCAGTCCTCAGATACTTTTTTTAAAGTATCTCCAATATCCGTTGATAGTGTTGCCTCGACCCTAAGAAGCCTAAAAGCATGTAAAGCAACAGGTCTTGATAAAATTCCTGCTAAAATTCTAAAATTATCTGCAAACATAATTGCACCCTCGTTGACATTCATCTTCAATCTGTCGCTTGCAACAGGCGTATATATAGATGAATGGAAGCGTGCTCGTGTTACGCCAATATTTAAATCCGGGGATAAAAGACAATGTGAGAACTATCGGCCTATTTCAATTTTACTGGTGGTGAGTAAAGCCTTTGAGAAGGAAGTTTTCCGTCAAGTATATAGATACTTGTCTGAAAGCTCTCTTCTGTCAAAGTTTCAATCTGGATTTCGTCCAAAGCATTCAACTGTAACTGCCCTCATCCAAATGTGTGATGAGTGGCTAGAAAATATGGACAATGGAAAGTTAAATGGGGTTGTGTTCATAGATATCAAAAAGGCATTTGACTCTATATTATAAACCATCGCATTTTGTTAAATAAAATGAATGAGCAATTTGGAATTTTTGGCGTAGAATTAAAATGGTTTGAGTCATATTTAACAAATAGAGAACAGCAATGTAATGTTAATGGAGAATTATCTAGTAATAAAATTATCACCTGTGGAGTGCCCCAGGGATCTATACTGGGACCACTGCTATTCCTATTATATATTAATGATTTGCCCGATTGTTTGAAATCAACTAACCCATGCATGTACGCGGATGATACTCAAATCTTTTCATCTTCCTACGATGCAAATGAACTTGTTGTAAATTTAAATTCAGATCTTGCCCATGTCTGTAACTGGCTTAAAGAAAATAGGCTGCAGATGCATCCATCAAAATGTAAAATGATGTTTATTGGCTCCCCGTATAATCTTAATAATATAATGTGTGAGGAACCCGTTGTGGCTAATGCAAAACCCATATCACGAATTGCTACACAAATGTGCCTAGGAGTAAAACTAGATGAAACCCTTAATTGGGATAGTCACATTGAAATGATATGCAAGAAGGCGAGCGCTGCTATTGGCGCTATGAAACGTATAAAGCCCTTTGTTCCAATGCATACCTTAGAATCGATTTATAAAAGTCTTGTGCAGCCATACTTTGATTATTGTTCCCCCCTTTGGGACACTTGTGGTAAGTTGCTAAGAGACAAGTTGCAAAGATTTCAGTCTCGTGCAGCAAGAGTCCTAACGGGTGCTAATTATGATACTCGCTCAGCTGATCTTCTCAACATGCTTTCTTGGGATACACTTGAAAATAGGCGGTCTGGTGCCAAGTCAGTATTAATGTATAAAATACTTAACGACCACACTGCGCCAGGTCTCCGGGGGTCATTCGTGAGAAGAGAAATAGATCAAACTACTTATCATCTTCGAAACACAGCAACTGATCTAACAATTCCTAAACCGAAACGAGAATTTCTTAAAAAAAGTTTTAAATATAGCGGCGCTATGCTCTGGAATCAACTCCCAAACGAAGCAAAATTGGCCGAGTCGCCTCATTCGTTTAAATCAATTGTTGGACAGCGACATGCTTCCTAATTATTTGTATATAGTAACGTGTACAGTATGTGTGTACTAATATTTAGTTTAAATTTTCCTTTTAATGATTTTTAAGATCTAAACACGCCCCCCATGGAAACCAGCCTAGAGTTGATGGGGCTAGCGTGTTCTTCTTTCTGTTAATTTTAAATAAAGTATTACCTACCTACCTACCTACCTAGTGCTCTTATAGGACATTTGTTGATGAAGAGAATTATAATTTCACCATTTTGGTAAGTGTTTCGTACTTTCTACTAAAGAGTAAAGGTGTACAGATTTTTGTTAAATTTACTCTATTGTTTCAATCATTAGCACACACAAATTGGTAAATTTACTTAAATTCGCTATCAGCATCATATGAGAGTATAATAAATTGATATAGGGTCTACGAACGATCAAAAGGAATGCCAATTTGACGGCACGAGAGAATTATATTTCTCCACCCAATTAATGTACTGAGTTGCTATTACGGTATGTTCGATGCTGAATTACTATAAAAGAGTATGTTTATGACATTCAGTATATAGTTCATAATTTCCAGTCTTCGATCTATCCTTTAATACACTTTTCATTAGAAAAAATTAAGTAAAAATTAAGTTGCTATATATACCACAACAAAACAAAAATGACTAGATCTAGAAAACAACGAATTCAAATATTTTTAGAACAGTTTGCAATTCAGCGCCCGTGATAGTTGTAAGCGAGGATGTAAACAAAATAGTATTCAGTGGCGTAGCAAACTCGATAATTGGGGGGCCAATATTCATATGGTCGTGTTCTGCATCATTAATTTCCTTTCAAATCAATTGTTTTTTAGGTCTGTAAACACGAATATAAAAATATTGAGCCCCCCCCCAAATTATCGAGTTTGGTATGCCATTGACAGTATTTACAATCCTTTAGTAATTTTATTTATCAGAAATAGCTTTAAAGAAAACCTTTACACACCGTTAAAGAAAACTTCGTGGTTTTCTAGCTTTGTGTCTGGAGAAACGGCAGCTTCGCATGATAAAAACATTTGCCATTTTGTGTTTGTCTGGAGCTGAATAGTGCAACTGTGCAAGGATATCCGAAGCTGAGCAACAAATCAAATTGCTTGAAAGGAAATATGCAACTGCATACCTAGTATATCGGTCGGGACCTTAGTTGGAGAAGGCTCAAATTGCCAGTTTAGTTGTTGCGGATGCGGTAGTTTCTCAGAGGCGCCGGAAGATCGATAATTGGGCGCGGGGGGGGGGGCAGGTATTCATATAGTCGTGTTCACAGACTCTAAAAACAATCGATTTTAAAATATAAATCTCGATTTCAAAAGAAATTAATTGGGCAGAACACGAATATGTGAATATCTCCCCCCCCCAAAAAAAAAAAAAAATTAGCGATCTTCCGGCGCCTCTGTAGTTTCTGCAAGTAATGACTAGGAACCTCGGTGCAAAGTGTGATAGAAATTTCACCATTAGTACCTGTGCTATTCACGTGATCATCACACCCTGTGAACGATGGTATTGAGTGGACACGTGTAGTATATAGAATAGGTTCTTATGAATGTAAAGTAAACACATTAACAAAACTACAAGACTCTGTCTTTATATCACTGGCGACGAGGATTGACAAACTCAAACGAAACTATGAGGACTGGAAAAGTAATTCAGTATATATCAACACAGAAATACGAAGAATTACAGCCGGACCCAGCGTGTATTCAACGGTAAACGGAAATTATTGACGCTATAAACTTGTCTTTACTCAGATATTTACCTCGATTATAATGGCCACGAAAGGACCAAAGCCTAAAATCCTTCCATTTGATCCACACGGAGACAGGCTAAATTTAGGCAGACGTTGGGAGAGATGGCTGGAAAGATTTGAGCGAGATCTCAAGTACAATGGCTGCGACCCCAACGAAGCAGAAAACAGCGAAACAGCACAAATGGCATTGTTGATTTACGCGGGAATACAAGTAGAGGATATCCATGACTCCCTGCTTTCCCCCACCAGACCGTCAAGCGTTTCCAACGAACAGTGGACGGAGTATCGACAATCGAAGGAAAAACTAAACCAATATTTTCTCCCTCAAAAGTCAAATGACTTTGCTTTATTCGAGCTCATGCGAGTGAGACCAGAAGAAGGCGAAAGGACTGGGAACTGTGCAGCAAGACTAAGGAAAGCGGCCGAGAAATGTGGCTTTGCGAACTGGACGGCAAACAAAATGATAAAATGTCTTATCATAAGTAACCTACATGACGACCAGCTACGATTGATATGTTTGCGAAAGGAGCTGACACTTGACAAGTTACTGGAAAAAACACAAAAGAGAGAAGATGCCATGGTCATGAATGAGGTCATGCACAAAAAAGACGGGGAGAAAGAGAAGTTAAATAGAGTGAAGCAACGATATCCATTTAAAGGTCCACACACACGGAAGGAAGGTCTACAAGAAAAAGGTAAGTACAAAAGCAAAGGCAGAGACGAAGAACAATGCTTGCGCTGTGGTAGTCGACGACACAAAACGTGAGCGGAATGCCCAACCCTAGGGAAGAAGTGTGACTTTTGCAAGAAAACAGGACATTTTGCTAAGGTTTGTTTTAAAAAGTTGGTAAACAATATAAAAGAAAAGCCCCCTCAGAGTGATACCGATGAGAGCGATTATGACGGGCAGGTAGCAAAGGTCGCAGAAAGGGATCTAGTGCACTTGACAAACAACTCTAACGTCGAGTATGGGCAAGCTACAACAGACGACCAGACTTTTAATGTGGGAACACGCCCGGCTCTGGTCAAAGCCAAAATGGATGGTCGCGAGTTGACATGACAACCGGACACAGGTGCCACAAGAGACATCATGGACGAACGACACCTACGAGAATATGAGAAAGAGGTGGGAAGAAAAGTGACCCTTTCCCCATCTCCTGTTAAGTTGTTCGCGTATGGCAGCAATCGAAGCCTTGAACTGGTTGGCCAATTTCAAGCAGTAATACGAGCCGGTGAAAAGAGCCTGGAAACTACCATCATCGTTACAAAGGAGGCGTCATCTTACTCACTCTTGTCTGAAAATTCATTACGAACGGTCGGGCTTGTCCAATACAACGAGAAATTCCTTGTCCAACAAATTGACGAAAAAAAGAGACATACTGTGATGACATCGTCGACCGAGAACAAGTGGTAAACACTAAAGCTAAAATGGTTTCCAGCGACTCAGGTGCCAAGGAACGCCGTTTAAAAGTCGGAAATCAAGTTGTTGTGATGCAGAAAAGTAAAAATAAACTAACAACTGTGTTTAACCCAACACCGCTAACAGTTACAAACATAAAAGGATCAATGATTACGGCAAACAAAAATGAATGGTCAATAACAAGGGATGCTTCAACGTTTCGTAAGTTATTTGGGAGACTACCCCCAAGAAGTAGTAAAAAGGACGGCGAGGAGATATACGAGGCGGAAAACGACACAAACGAGCAATCGGACCAAGAGGAACACGAGGAAGACGAAGAGTTTAATGAAGGTGATATCGAGCAAGATAAAGAAAGGAGCAAACGATGATAATGTAGAACCACCAATAGCAAGGCCGGAACGCGAAAGACAGCCGCCAGCTTGGCTCAGAAACTATATGAAACATAAAGGACTCAAAGAGTAGGACAGTCTTGAAACAAATACGATTATTTATTGATATTAGCTTTGTTGCTGTTTAATATAGGACATATAGTAAACGGAACATACTAAGTACTTTAAAGTATGGGAGGGAGGTGGTATTCACGTGATAATCACACCCAGTGAACGATGGTATTGAGTGTATACGTGTAGTATATAGAATAGGTTCTTATGTATGTAAAGTAAACACATTAACAAAACTACAAGACTCTGTCTTTATATCAGTACCCATGTTACAAAAATATGCAAAGCTGTTTTTTTCTATTTCTACAATATACAGTAAGCCTAATCAGGAAATAGTTGAGTCGAGAAACTATGGAAACACTGGTGCATGCGTTTGTCACCAGTCGACAGGACTATTGTAACGCTCTGTTATATGGGTTACCGAATTGTCTTATTCCCAAGCTGCAACGCGTACAGCAGAGTGCAGCTGCTAGACTGATTTTTGAAGCGCCCAGATATTGCCACATGTTCCCCGCTATATTAAATGAACTCCACTGGTTGAACATCGAACACAGGATATAGAGTATAAAATAATTTTAACTTAATCACATATAAACTAAGCTATTTATGAGAAAGCCCCAGAATATATAGGTACTGTACATTAATTTATTTAAATTAAGGCCTGTTATTCAAGATCTTTTAAAAACATCTGGCAGTAAGAACGTTGCCTCCTCTTGGAGATCGGGCTTTTGCTTGCGTGGCTCCACGATTGTGGAATGAATTACCACTGGAATTACCACGAGAAGGAGAGATTTATGTCAGATAATGACTCGAGGACGCGCAGCGTCCGAGGGCATTACCTGATATAAATCCCGACTTTCGAGGTGTATATCATATTTAATTCATCTTGAGGAGTTTTTCCAACAAAGTTTTGTCTTATACGTCTGTTTTGTCTGTTTCAGTGAACGACAATTTTCTGAGTTTTCCTTCATCTTTTCAGCTAAGTAATATTGAAGGTGATTATTAAAAATAATCACCTCGGTACATCAAAGAAAACCGACTCAAGGACGAATTAAGGATTAATAATACGAATAATGTTTGGAAATTTTGCCAAAATTGGACGAGCCGTCGGGGCGAATCCAATTTGGCAAAATTTCCAAACATCACGAATACTAGTAATCCCTAATTGTACGAGCAACGTCGCATGATTACTTGTTTATTATTAACATGAGAAAATTGGATAATTCTCAATGTCAACATCATTCATATTCTTTCGCCAAAACGCAGTCCTGTTGATTTGTTTTGGGAAAATCATTCATTGTACTGAGGTACAATTAATTAAATAATTGTACTCCTCTCTACCAATCAGCATCTAGTAATCATGCCAATAATCATAGCTTTTAAACGAAAACTTAAGACGTACCTTTTTAAGAAGGCATGTTATGATTAGGGCATGTAAAATTAGGATTTTAATTTTGCAGCCTGATGTGCCATTTTCGATTAGCTTAACTTTGTAATATTTCGGGTATTTTAGATATGTAATGTAAAGCGCATTTGAAAACGCGTGTTGAACATGCCCTATGTATAATAATAATAGTAAATGTGTATGACCTTTGATGGTTGGATATACTAGTAAAATAGAAATCTATATACAAAGAGGAAGGAAAGTCATTTACCTAACTTAAGTTTCTTATTGAAGCCAATGTTACGCTAAACCATGAATAATTAATTAAGAATTAAAAATTATGAATATTTAATTCATTATTGATTCGGTTTTCTTTGATGTACTGAGGTGATTATTATTAATAATCACCTTGAATATTAATTAGCTGAAAAGATGAAGGAAAACTCAGAAATGGTCGTTCAAAGCTGACGAAACAGACAAAACTTTGTTGGAAAACCTCCTCAATGATGAATTAAATATGGTAAACACCTCGATCGAAACGTAAACACCTCGAAAGTCAGGATTTATGACGGATAATTCCCTCGGACGCTGCGCGTCCTCGGGTCATTATCTGACATAAATCCCTCCTTCTCACTGTTTATCCTATACATAATTACAAGGATAAAACTTTGCTAAATACTGGAGGTCAGAGAAGATTAATAGCTCTGGCTATTGGTGGTGATTAAGGTTTTACTGAGAAACTATCAAACAAAAAGAGACAATTGAGTATTGAAGGTGCTGCCATATTTTTGCTGTAAGTTAGTCAGTTTATTTTTTTCTGTGGCTATATTGCCGTAACACTTATAGGCCACCGAAATATTGACATCAATACTGGCATCAGCTGTCGCCTATAGACATTTATAATCATGATTTTATTTACTTAAATTCGACGAATACAACGAATATATTGCAAAGATTACTGAGTTTTTTCAATTTTTCTACATTTATCGCTTTCTAGTACTGTAGCAATATTGAGATTCATAACAAGTTAACGTCTTTTTAACCTGCGCCTTCACTACGGCAAAGTATTCGTGATAGGTAAAGGTTGTCCATCTTTGTTTTAGTTTTCCAATTTCGTAATCAAGAAATTGGCGTCACAAAATCTAACTGTTTATATAAAATTGTATTTTTAAATTTATGAAACGTATATCGCCGTCTCGTGCTTGATATGTTCCCTCAAAATGACCAAGAATATTGAGATACTGTAGCTATCCCATCGTACAGTGGCATTGCAGTCTCAGCTGTTATATTTTTGTTTAACTTGGAATGATCTTGGATTTAGTGTGCAATAATTTTCGATCAACAAGGTTGAGACGCCATCAGCATGCTGTAAACATCATCCGTGGTTATGAGTTTCCTATCCAGGGTTTTGAACACCCACCGTATTCCAGAATATTTTTCTTTTCGTGCACTCATTCTGAAAGATTTTCATGGTTCAACACCGCGTTCAAAACTACGTCAACTATTTACATGCAGCTTGCTATATACATGCAGGGACAAATAATATTGAAGCAGCTATTTGGGGGCAAATTTGAGGTATACCCAGATGAAAACTAAGAAAATCTATTTGTTCACTTTTCGGCTATAGTTCAATTAGTCAATCCTTGGTTTATCACATCCGGGAATGACTGAAATTTCCCCCCAAATGGTAGCTTCAATTTGTCCCTCGATTTTACCGTGAATGCTCACTCTATTCTTTTATCCCCGAGGATACTAATTCCACCCGGCCATTTACACCCGTGGAAAGGAACACATTAACGAAGTATAAAGTTCATCAATAATCGCGGGCGCATGGCTATGGTTCACCGTTTACCGTTCGGTCGGTGGTCATCCTCAAAATATAGCGCACTTTAGTGAATAGCAAACACTAATGGGTCAAATCATAGACAATCCAGAAGACAGGGACTGGAAACGCCTAATGTTTTGCGCGTGCCATCCGTGATGTGCTTGCGTGACGCTTGTGCCATCATGCCATGTGAGTGAATGGCCTGTTGCATGCTTCGTAAAAGAATAAAGCGATAGATTATGGACCGGTACTTGTCTGCTGTTTTACAGCTCTTTATATACTGGAAAATTGTTTAAATAATCTACACCGAAAAGGGAGTTAGGTATATCACATTGTGTGTAAAGTTTATAAAACGGATCTGCTTTTTCAGAGACGAGTGCAAAGAATTTTCGAGCTTGTTCGAAAATTTTGATTTCCAATTTGGGGTGGACTTTTTCGGGCACGATTCAGGTTTGTTTGCGTATTTTAGTTTTCTTTAATTAAGTTTACGTATATTCTGTTTTGCTTCACTGTAATTACGTTATATAAATTGATTGAAGTTATCTTTTCGAAGTTTTCCTTGATCTGTATTTTAAAATTTGAATTTGGCAATTTCGGTTTAATTAATATACCTTCCATTTTATTGACAACAAATCCTTTCTTTCTCGAAAACCCTTTTTGCTAAGGCATCCATTATTAAAAAGAAATAAAAACAATGTTTCAGTTATTTTAACAGTTATTTTAACGGTGAGTTTTGTATGTTTAACACTCTTTTAACTTTCGACAATGAATGCCAACAAGAATGCCAATGGCAATGGCGACTTTTTTTGCTGTCAAAAACATTACGCAATCATTAAAAGGTGTTTTTTTGCCTTTGTTTGACCCAATATACGTTTAAAAACCGGAGAAACGCATCCACAGGTCTATATTTGTTTTAAATATGTAAATTGTAAACCCTGAACTTTATTTAAACTGTAGTTGCAGGGTTCCAAGTTAGCCGGTACAAACTTTGCCGGACAACAACAATGGCAATGGCGACTTTTTACAGTCAAAAACATTACGCAAGCATTCAAAGGACGTTTTTGGCTTTGTTTGACCCGATATAAGTTTAAAAACGGGACAAGTGCATCCACAGGTCTATTTTTGTTCAAAATATGTAAATTACAAACTCTGAACTTTATTTAATTAAACTATAGTTACAGGGTTCGAAGTGGGGCAACAGAAATGGCCATCTTCTAGTTGGCGCAAAAGTAATTTTGCCCGTCAAATTTTCAGTAAACATTTTGGGGGGAAAAAGTTACCAAATTGATATAAAAGATAGCCTATTCGATAGATTACAATCTTTTGATTACACATACTTTGACCAAAAGGTACAAAAATAGTTTATTTTTCAGTTGCAGGGTTAGTTTTGCCAGCAAGTTTTCAGAATAATATGACAATAACAATTGCCGGCTAACAACATTCGTAATTCTGTCAATCAAATTCAGTAAACATTTTTGGGCGAATAAGTTACCAAATTGATATAAAAAATAGCCTATTCGATAGATTACAATCTTGTGATTACACATACTTTGACCATAAAGTAAAAAAATAGTTTATTTTTCAGTTGCAGGGTTAGTTTTGCCAGCGAGTTTTCAGAATAATATGACGATAACAATTGCTGGCTAACAACATTCGTAATTCTGTCAATCAAATTTAGTAAACATTTTTGGCTGAATATGATGCCAAATTGATATAAAAAATAGCCTATTCGATAGATTACAATCTTGTGATTTCAAATGGCTTCATCGTCAAAGACAAAACAGGTTAAGTTTGTAGTTACAGGGTTAGTTTTGGCAGTATTTTCTGGAAATAATTGCTGCGTGCGCGATTTACCGATAGCACGATCCAAATTTTACATTTAGCATCACTATAAAATAGAAATAAATGAAAATTTGGACGTATCTACCTTTGTTAGTATAGCCGCTCCACGACTACGATCCCAAAATTCAGATAATACGCTTTTTTTACGATATATTTTGCATAAACTACACGCATTTGCCTTTGTTTTTATGTAATTTTAAAGACTTGTTACCGTGGTAACCAAGTAATTGCTACGTGACAGGCACATCACGGATGTCACGATTTGTCATCATATTTCTAGCTTACGTTTCCAGTCCCTGTCTTCTGGATTGTCTATGGTCAAATTTAAAATTTACATTATAACGACTGCATGACGACAGCGAAATAACAAACATTTCTTGCAAATATATTTCATTTTCGCAAGATTTCTTTATTGTCATCTTTATTTAAAACACGAGATCCATTTTACAAGCTAGAATAGGTGCTCTTCAATGGAGACGTGTACCTATGCTAGTAAACTAATTTCTAATAAATAAATATCAAAATATTTACAAGAGTTACAGACTACATATGCAAAGAAACAGACATAATAAAATAATTAAGAAATTTTAGATTTAAACTCAGCAAGAGATTGAACTATTGCGATTTCGACGGGTATGTCGCTCCAAAGGGTAAACCCTCTATAAGTAAAGCTTTCTTTAAGGAATCAGTTAAGGGCCTCGAAACAAAAAGTTTATGATTAGAGCCTCGCAAATTGTGTTCGAGTATCGTAGAAGTTGGAGTAAATTTTCTTCACATGTAGCTAAGAAGCATGTTATTAACAGTTTTGAACATAAAGTTTTAAACTGCTGAATGTGTCTGGTTTCGAGGTTGGTCCAATTCAATGTTAAGATATCTAAGGATCGAATGTTGTAATCAGATTCAATAACAATTCTCGCAGCCCTATATTCTGTAAAAGCTGCAGCTTTTGTCCAAGACCCTTGCTTGAGCTATCTCAAACAGTGCTACAATAATCAAAGTGTGGCTGTATTAAAGAGTTGTAAATCTCTTAAGACAAGAGTTCACTATGGAAGCAATGGTTTCAGTCTTCGTACGAAAACTCCAATCACCTTGGAGACTTATTATTAGATTATAGCAGAAACATGATACTCCCATGTCACGCTCTCATCCAGTTGCAAACCTAAACACTTGTAAGTCTTGATTGACCCTTTCGATTTTGTTTGCAGAGATAGCGACATTAGGGTCTTCTGGGATAGTACTTAATTTTAGTCTGGATGCAATAAACATACATCTAGTTATAATTGCATTCAGACTTATTTTATTCAAGTTAAATTAAGTCAGTTTTCGGGAGTTTTAAGATCATCATTTAGAACAGAGATTAACTTGTCTGGGTCGTTGTCCGCAAGTGTCAAATTGGTATCATCAGCGAATAAACGCCCATCTGATACCAATTCACGATTAGGTAGGTGATATATATATTAGGAACAGTAGTGGACCTAGAATAGACCCGTGAGGAACACCACATATTACTTTACGAGTATCAGCCCGTATGTTGTTAATAACTGTTAATTGAGTACGATCATAAAGATAATTTCTAAAAAGATCAATCGCTTTAATATTTAAGAATTTTTTTCAAAATCCTTATGGAAGTAGTAAGGATCTTAGTTGAAAATAGTATGGAAATCCATTTTTTCTACAAATTGCAATTGCCATGCTATGGCTATAGCATGGAAATAGTATGGATATACTATGAATTTAGTGATGTCAATTCCATTCACTATTTTTCCAGTGATTGTTCCTTGATATTTCATATGTTTTTATTTCATTTCAGGGAGATTAGCAGACGGTGTTGGGCGACCAACAATGTATCCAATGTATCACTTTTTGCACATGCTCATACGATGTACACTTCTGGTAATTGTACAATGCCAAGCAAGTGAGAGTTTAGATTTTTGTTTCAATTCTACTCTTGAAGGTAGGTGACGTTACTTACACTATTAATTAATGGATAACCATTATTTATGCCACTTATGCCTTGGAAGATTATTTTATTGTAGCTATACATCAAATTGAATAATCTCAAGGAACTCCCCCCTCTCCTTCTATGTGATGCTTTTAATAATAAAGCCACTCTAACAATTTGACAACACAGTATATTCCCTCTTAAGACCTATAACTTAAATATTGCGATTCTGATCTTCGTTTATGTCAATGTCTGACTATGAAGAAACAGAGTTAGCTAGAAAGTTCACTTGCATTCAATTTTACCCAAACTAGCTTTCATATTTGACAAAATTTCCATTTCCAACAAACTGCAGGTGTCACAATATCTCTTTTGTTTTTTAACAAGCTCCTTTCCCCTACATCACAAGATTCCAATAAAAGCATGAAAAACCGGTTGGTGGAAACCTCAAAGCCTTCACTGACACAAGACGAATAGGAGAATACGCAATATAGACTAAATTATATAGACCGATCCCTATAACTATTGTTATGTTTGCCAGGTTTCAGACTTAATGCAACAGTTTTGAAGACAAAAGTTGTTTCTCAATGGATGGAATGCATCGTAGAATGTGTCAACGAGCCATGTTGTCGGTCAACCAACTACAAAAAGGACTTTCAGAATAAACCGAATTGTGAAATGTTACATGACGTGGTCTACAATACATCTGAGAAAGTATTGGAGAGAAACTCCTCTTACGATTATGTTTATCTGCTTGATCCACAAAAGGTATGAATTGACTATAGAGGAGGAAAGGTTTTAACTTCCAAATATATAATAATGACCACTCACGTTGTGAGCTGAATGCTTTCGATCTTTTTCTTTCATACTTACAGGTATCTTGTTTCAGACGTGATTTTATTATATATACATTCTTCTGATTGGAAAATAGATTGCAGCTAAAATATGGAAATCACAGAACATGCACACAAAAATGCACACACAGAGAACTGTCTTATGTGTAGGTTGAGACCGCACACTGTAATTTTCTGGCAAGCGGCAATTTTATATGCACGAATTATTTAAGTGACGAAAAGAACAAACTCGTACCCAGGGCTAGCCGTGAATTGAAGTCAGCGACGTAGCCATGGTAAACGCTGGTCATGTGACTCTAACATTACGTAATTGTTACTTTTCTGATCCGGGGGTTGAAGTAATTGTATGCTAGAGGTGAAACTCGAAGACCAACAGAGTTTATCTCCGAAATTCTTCAATCTTCCCTGTGAATTTTGCATTTCAAGCTTTTCTAAAAGTATGGCGATCGATCAAATGGACAATACTTTCTGTAGAAAAAACTCAGTGAGATTTGTTCGTATGCGACGTAATATTTATATGGTTTAATAGTACTTTGTTGCGACTTGCGAAGCAAATGGAATTCAAATTCAACTCTTGACTCTTGTATAATGACTAATAGTTGGTGTAGTAAAAGGACAACTTGTACAAAAGATATGAATACTTCAGCTTCAAAGTAGGGACAAGTTCATTGACATCCCTAATATATGCACATCGATATATCAACGATATGTGAATATGATTATTAAATATTTATATAAACGAATTGCTGTTGTATATGTTGTGTTGTGGTATTTACGTTTTTAACCCTTTAAGTAGTAATGCACCCAAATGATCCTTGACAATGGTAGCGCATTTTTCCACTTGCTGCATATATCACAACCAATAACTGTTTCAGAGGAAGAGCCCTGAGATCGTGCTGTGAAGCTTGATTGGAATTTCACATAAAGCAATCAAGACCTTCACTCAGAAGCCAGAATTAATATTAATTCCCCACTGAACACTTGGAAACTGGACTGTTCCATGCAGGACAAAAGACATGCAGCCTGGACGTTAACTGTTAAACAACCACATCAGCATGATAAACAGTGTGATGATTTTTGCTTAGCACAAACCAAAACCAGGTTTCTAGAATTAATGGCACTTCTTCCTAAGAACTGGATCTCCAACTTGAAGAGCTAGCTATGCTATGTAAGTCAACAATAATTGTGCATGTGAAACCCTGCATTGAAGTGACTACAGAAAATCTTCAAACGATAATAGACAGATCAGGTTTGACTTCCGCTACTGCTATTGCTATCGTTAACTATAACCAGATAAGTTTAATCTACCGAATCAAACAATCGGATACAACTGCCGGTGGTAGGTAGCAGTAGCAGTAGTGGAATTCAAATTTGAACCTTTCTATATGGATTTCAGAAAGACTAATAATTATTTGCTGATACATTATTGTAACTTGTATAATCATAATCAAAAGCTGGTATATTCATTTATCATATTAAAAATTGACATGACTATCTATGAAGTGAAACTAATTTTAAAACTATATTCATAAAATTATTCATGCAGGCGACTGAATAAACCATGTAGTGTATGTGCATTATAAATCTCTAAAAATTCCTTTACATTATTCTTCCAGTAGGCCCTACAGTGCAAAACTATATAAACGTGACACAGGTTGCAGGTATTAGGTTGAATGTCCACAAGTGTGCTGAAATACCATCCAGTGGTCTGGTCTTGTTCATTGTTACTTGCATCTTGCTTAATTAAATTTTAATTTAACTGATTCTGCCCCATTTCTTGTACCATCAATTTCTTTTCAATAATCTAGAAAACTTCAAAATCATTCACTAACTTTAATTTTAAAATTTGGTGAAAAGTAAGGGGTCAATAGATGAAGAAAAAATTTCTTCCTGTACACGCATATGGCCCCCATCTCTGTCAGGTGTTAGAGTAGAAATTTAAAGTCTTCAGAAAATAATTATGACAACAAGGTTACAAGCCACACTGCAGAGTTGCATTTTTTATAAGATCTCGAAGGCACAAAAGGTATAAATGTTGGGTAAGGAAACAAAATAATGAAATTATGAGATTCGGGGGCAGATTTTTACAATGAGGTGCTAAACCTTTTCGCTAAAAAATCTCTGAGCCGTCTCTGTCCAGCAGCAGTTGTCATGGATATTAAAAATACTAATTAACTCGCTAACATTAAATAATACTGAAACTGATGTTTGACTATAAATAATATCCTAGCCCTAGATTTTTGCTTTATCAATCACTCGGTCATTAATGGCTCATTTAAATAATTTCACGTCATTAAATGTAGATTTTGTGTTTGACTGCTTAATAACATTAAAAAGAAAGCATTTGAAGTTACTGCTGTAGATTGTATAGTTACTGTTTTTGCAGCGATAAATCAATATTGCAAATAATAATCATGTGAGAGTAGAACTTTACTGAGAATCTGAAAATTATTATATATAAGCCAGTTTGGCCACGTGTTTCTCAATATTTGACTACAAATTCAGCTAAAATATATAATAGGTTCTGAAATATATATTTATAGAGCTAGTACTGTAACAAATTAAAAGGCAACCGTGTGCACTGCCGCCATTACGATATTCGCAAGAATGTTAAATAAACTAATGGGAATCTGCCATATAGTTTGTAACAATAAAATACTTCTAGACATTTTAACACTATCCTTGGATCACTAGTTTGCATGGATACATAGGTAAAAATTACGGGGGAACGACCTATTGTGTGCCACTTTGTCGAATTAAGTAACAGTGTTAAAAATCCGGAATTATCCTTCCATAAATTTCCCGTGGAAAAAAAATTATGGCTGAATTTATTGGGAATACAAAGTCAACCTTTCAAAGCCACAAAGAGCGTACCTAACACTTTCCCGGTGGAAAGAAGTATTTTGGTGCATTGCCAATTGTCGTTAAAACATAGTGTAGAAAAACTGTAAACGGTAGCCAAGGCAGGGAACACTATATTAATATTATAGACAATGAGACTATTACTGAAACAACCCAGTCTGAACAACAAACGACTGACATTGATGCACAAGAGTCAACCAATGAAAAATTAAAAACATGAACATGCAGCTTTACAAAGAAAATAATTATGAAGAGTTATCAATTAAATACGAACAGTGTGTATTGCGAATAGAACATGTAGGCTACTTGCCAGTGATAAAAATTTTACATTCCGCACAGGCTTTCAAAATTATGCAACCTTTTAAGTTGTCCTTGACTTTCTGTAACCAGCATGTAATTTCTTAACTTATACTGATTCGAGTAACAATCTATAGAATACACTCGACAGAATCGAAAAACTGGGGCAAAAAATGTCAATGTCACCAGAGCAAGAGTTGTTTATGGTTCAACAACGTACCCAGGCTCTTCCCACTATACACTCCTCGCTGGAGGAAACACCCTGGTCCAGACTGGTCACGTGCCTCCCAGATTTTGGAAGATAACAAAAGTTTTACATAAGGGTCGGGGAATAAGTTTGTTTTACCGATCTAGTTGCCGATATCAATTCGATAACGTGTTTATTTTGCACTGTTTGGATATTTTGAGTGTACACCATATTGCTAACCAATTCAGCTCAATTGTGCCCTACTTTATTGTTCTACTACGTCTGATGCCATGGCGATTTTGTATTTTAAAGCCATCTGTTTAGAGTTTTCATATATTGAAAGAATGTCATTTCTTCGATATATCGAAAGAAAGTCATTTCTTGATGTATCGAAGCCATGGATAGTTTAGAGTTTTCGATATATCGAAGAAATGGCAATCATTAAATATATCGAAGGAATGGCATTCTTTCGATATACTGTATCGAAGAAATGGCACTCTTTTGATATATCGAAGCAATGGATAGTTTAGAGTTTTCGATATGTCGAAGAGATGACATTGCGAAGGCATGGCATGTTCTTGATATATTTCAGTGACTGGGTCGGTCTTCAGACATGTTTTGAAACGATAACATTTTCCACTTTTTCCTCTTTTTCCACTTTCATTCACATGCCTTATACTCACTTTGCTAAAAACAACAGCTGGGAAATTTGTTGTCGCTGTACAGAGAAATTGCTGGCGCACGCGATATTTTACAAAAAATCGAAAATTTGAAAAAACAACACGAGTGAAATTTCAACTGATGATTTTGCATTTTTAAGACGGCGATCAAGGAAATTAAATTGTTGGAAAAACTTCACTAACATCTCAAGTATGGAAAGCATCTACATTACCAGAAATTTAATTGTGGATTGATTCAAAATTCAGGCGATAAAGTTACATAGCTAGGAGTTGGCTTTTGTGCTCTTCGAATATCAGTTTTCATTCGCAGATTACCATAACTTGTTGGCCTCATGGGTGCCAAAATCGACATAAACGTAAACTGG